GAGCCATCTTGGGCTCCGGCAGCTCCCCGGCCCGGCCCACTCTCCGCAGGCTGGGCAGTGAGGGCGTGGCTCCCAGGTTCCGGGTCCTGGGAGAGGGGACCATGGCCCGGGGCTTAGTAGCCTTCTCCGGGGCAGCCTGCGGAGACAACAAGAGGAGAGGAGCTTGATGTGGGCTGATGGGCACTAGCCCATCTGGACGGGTCCACGAAGGATGGGTCACTTGCTACCCAGAGCATCAACCCCAACTGCAACATCCCCAAGGATCTCTGGGCTCACAGGACAAAATTGGGCCTGTCTCCGTATCCGGGTGCTTGTTACGGAATAGAGAGGCACAGAAGTGGGTGAGGAGTCACCAGGTGTGCCTGCCACATCCAAGGCCTCCTTCCCAGACCCTGACAGCATGAAGATATGCCAGGTCAGAGTCCCCTATGAGGAAGCACCAGGAGCTGGCAGCATCCGGTGAGTCCCACCCTTTCTCTCCAAGACATCTTATTTTCTAATCACACTCAACCAGTGCTTAGCCCTCAGCCTGCAGGCTCCTCTGTCCCAGGCCTAAGGGCCAGCGACCATGTCTGAGTATCAGCTTGTCACTAATAGGGTCTCAGAAGGCCAGAGGCAAGTTAGTTTTTTGTTTTGTTTATAGTAATGGAGACTGAACCCAGGGCCTCTGCACTGAGCTACATCCCCAGCCCACCCACACCTATTATTTTTAAGATAAGGTCTATGTCACTAAATTGCCTGAGTTGGTTTTGAATTCTATTATCTTCCTGCCTCAGCCTCCCAAAGTGCCAGGATTACAGGTGTGCAGCACTGTGCCCATAAAAATCAGGTTTACATAGAGTATGACTTTTTTTTTTTTTTTTAAGACATTTACATAGAGTATGACTTTTTTTTTTTTTTTTTAAGACAGGGTCTCGCTATGTACTTCAGGCTAGCTTTGAACTCACTATGTAGCCTAGGCTGGTCTCAAACTACAGCCATCATCCTGCCTCAGCCTCCCAAGTGCTGGGACTATAGACATGCACCACCCTGCCCAGCCTGTCAGATGTTGGCATACAAAGATTCATTTTTCATTTAATAAGTATTTATTAAGCACCCGCTATGTTCCAGGCACCTGCCAGGGGTATTTTGGTCAGGAGAGATGTGGCCTCCTAGCTCAGTCAGAAAGGAGATAAATGCTTCAGTTGACTTTTAGGTGAACAAGATCTGGGGAGGCTAGAGATATGTGCCAGATACCAGGTGGTATGGGAACTGCAGGTGGGGCGTGGGGCACCAGTCAAGGACAGAAAGCTGACTGAGTCCTTCACGAACTGAACAAATGAACAGAACAGAGCTCGAGCCTTCCCTCCACATCTTTACTGAACACCTACTGTGTGGAGAGCAGCCTTGAAAGCATTTAAGCTAAGTTTCAGTCCCACACTCAGGCAATTACAGAAGCAGAGTCCTCCTGGAGAGGTGACATGGAGTTTGGTTTTAAGAGCGAGTCAGGGACACTGTAGGGACTTCCTATGGAGCTTCCTGGGTAGTGACCACTTTCTGCCAGGCAGCAAAGACATCTGTTGAACTTCTGGTTCCCTGAGAGTGGGACTCACACCGCCAGTAGCACCAGCCTTCTGTGCCCACACTAAGTATTCTGCAATAGCATGTGCGCGCGCACACACACACACACACACACACACACACACACACACACTTGAGCTCCAAGTGAAGCTTGGAAAAGAGGTCACAGCTGGCCACTGAGACTCAGAGCTAAAGGCCATTGCTGCCAAAGGTCAGGAGGCAACCCCCAAGGCTGAGCAAGAGGAGAGGCAACCAGGTGAGGACGGTTAGGGGATGGAAGGTCAGAGAGGTGGCAGGAGCTCTGGGCGCATGCAGAGTCCTCAGAAGTGACCACAGAGAGAGAGAGGGAGAAAGAGGACAGTCAGATGGCCATGTCTGGAAGAGAGCCGTGGGAGCCCTTCAGGAGAGGACAGCTGAGCAGGGCACAGTGCAGACTTGGGAGGTCTCACGGAATGGTGGGGGCAGAAGGAACAGTCACTTCCTTTTCTTTGGAAAGTTTACTAGGATGGAAGGAGAGGGGGGAATCAAGGGGTTTAGAATAGGGGAGAGCTGACGTTGCGTACACAGAGAAGCAGCAATGAAGAAGCAACAAAAGTACAAGTACAGGAGTTGGAGGCCTGATCACCTTGGTATCTGATATTAGTTGGCAGAGCCCTGGAAGAACCTGTAATCTCTTCCTTCCATGACCAAGGAAGACAAGAGGAGGAGGTGATCCTTGGATACAGTCTCACTGGGAAGCAGTCAGGAATGTGAGCCAAAGGACAGGGCAGATGCGAATCTAAGTATGTGGCCCAGCATCACCGAGAAACTGAGATGGACCAGAGTGGAGTGGAAAAGCCAAGGGAACAGCCACATGTCCCCTTCTGCGAGCTGTGTAGCAGAGGTGGGCAGAAACCAGCCCTGCAGATGGTTGGGGAAGAAAGGAGGAAGGCAGGGCCGCCTGCAATCCCAGCTCCTGGCAAGGTGAACCAGTACCTGGCATAGACAGCTGCTTCCTAAAGAGAAGACTTAGGGGGAGATTAGCTGGGGTGAGACAGAGACCAGAGGAGACCACATGTCTATGCTGTCAGGAAGGGAAGTTGGAAGGGCAGCCAGGAAGATGTCAGGAAGAAAGAGGAAGGGTGTGTGCTAGGTCTCCAAGAGGAAAAAGCAGCTGAATTTAGCAGCTGGAGGAGTGTGAAGGTCAGAAGTATCAAGGAATATCAGTAAGTCCAGAGTTCTAGGCCAAGTAAGAAGTTCTCAATCCCCCCCGCCACCTCACTTGTATGACTTTTGGATACCTCTGGGACCTCTACCACCCTAGGATTCATAGGGTTGAGTGGTTCAAAATCTAGATCTGCTTAGTACAAGTGTGCCCTTGGGACAATTACTTTGCCTTTCTGGGCCTCCATTATCTCCATTTATAAAATAGAGAGAAGTCTACCTGTGTAGCATTGGTATAATGATTAGACAGTACATATGTAAAGCACTCAGAACACTTCTGACATATACAAAGAGCCCAAAAATTTATTTTTGTTAACTTTGCTCCAATGGTGGGCACTTGCCTCCAGATTTAGGCCAAGACAGCAGAGCTGCATCCCTCTGTCCTGCCCTAGATCGGGGACATTGCAAAGTTTGGGGGACAGACTCCACAGACTGCTACTGCAGAGGCATTGGTCTCTAGGGAGAGCAGTCAGAGGGCTGGGACTTGCCCTGCACACAGTCACACTTCCTGGCTTTTCCAGGGCAATTCAGATTTCAAAGCCTCTGCTCCCTGGTGGTGTTACAGACAGCAGAACTCAGCACCCCGTGTCCCTGAAGTCCAGTCACTGCAAACACAGGGCCCCATTCTGAGGCTGCATTCCAGCAGATGACTCTCCCAGGCCAAGGAAATAGCTACTTTATCAAGGGCATGGGGAATACTGTCAGGCAAGGAGAGGGTACTCACCCAGCCTCAGGCAGAGGGAGACCAGGGAAGGGGATAGGCCAGGGGCAGTCACAACTCTCAACCTTGAGACAGATGTAATGGGGTTAGAAGGGGGGCAGCAAACTGCACAGGAGAATTTAGATACCGCAGGCTTCACTACAGCCAGCCAGAGTTCTCTAACAGGAGGGTATGGAAGGGGGCAGCTTCTGGGCTCAGCCGGCCTGTTGGGATTCCCCAGCTGCAGCTGTCAGTGGCTCAATTCCTCACTGTCCTGAAGGGCACTGGCCAAGGACCTCCTTCCAATCTCCAAACTAGGCTATCATACCCCACCGCAGCCTGGCTGGGGGAGGCAACTGCCCAGAAGGAGCGGTGGGAGGGACTGAAATGACAAGATCTCCGTGGAGCCCTGCGGGTGTTAGAGCCCCTGCAGGGAGAGGGCGGTGCTGACTGACACAGGGCTCCCAGGTAGGGTCTGTGCTCTATCTAGCCAAAGAAATGGGAAGGGGGTCCGGAGGTTGCTAGGGTCCCGCGGGACGTGCAGCCCCCAAGCCCAGCTACTGGGCAATGTGCTGGCTTTGGGCTGAACGACACCAAGGGACGCTGCGCAGGGATGGGTCTAGGCTCCTGGCCTTCCCCCATGGCCCCAAGTTGGTCCCGGCACAGGGAGCTCCTGGGCAGGTCTGGCCCCGAGGTGACACCCGGAATCGGTCAGCGAGGCGGAGCCTGACTGCCCAACCCAGCTGGGCCCCGACTCACCGGCCTGGCGCAGGCAGAATCCGCGCGTCGCTGCAGCACTGGGGGC